ATCAACCTTCTACATCAGAAAAATGATCTGAGCTGTGGGAATTGTAACGTCCGATATAACTCAAACATCTCTATATTTGTACCTACACCGCAAAGCTCCGGACTTTGGATTGAATCAGGACGTTTTGAAGGATTGCTTGCCCTTTTCTGGGAAAGGACCCTGAAGGGAGGGAGGGGGGTCAAAGGTTGAAGAAGTGAAGCATTTGATTTGGCACCATAATTTGCACCACTCACGGGGCAATTTGTCCACTTTGGCAGTAAACCAGACAACAGACTTCCATCAGAAAGTAAATCACTCTCAAAATGACTAGTCAGATGAAGGAGGTCTATTCCCTGTCTTTCGACCTCCTTGGCTTTAGATCGAACTTCGGTGAGCATAAAGAATAGAGTAAAAGCAGATGTTGTCGCCGTATTATTGTGGTTATCATTGACTGATGAGTCTTCTGGTTATTGTTGTCACTTTCCCCAGCAGCTGGTTGTGACAGTGTGCATGTAACTGTCAGTAAACAGTGTTGTTTTTTGTGTGAAGGTGGTATAAACAAGTCACAATATAATCAGTACTGCTCTTATCAGTATCGTACATTCTTGCAGATGTTGTGGCTTAAGGCTTCCCCACTGGCTTCTTAATCTGCGTATAAATACCAGGTTCATTAGCGTTTGAAAAAAGGTTGTTTACACTCTCTTTATAAAGAGCCTCGTATGCAGGCAGATTAAAAACATAGATAAAGTGCTAAGATGTCTCATACAGGTGTGAAAATAATTTGAAAGTAAGGATTGTTCAGAGGATTTTTTCGGTTTGATTTTGAAAAGATACAGCAACAACTTGTTTCGTTGTCACGATAACAGCCATGATGTCACATGTCCAAAGTGTCCCTTTAGACTTCAGCATGTGTCAGGGGACACTTCTGAACAAAGGCTGTCACATGACATGGCAGTGTCAACATGATGCTGTTATGAGTCAAATAAATGACATCACCCATGTGTACTTGGGAATCGTAAAACGCGCTCACCCCATGATGGCATTTTAGGAACACACATCATTGAAATGGGAACATGAATGATGAAGAGAGAAAGTTGGGAAAATAAGCACATGAAGAGAGAACCATAAAAGAAAGTTGTTTTTTCTTCTCTGGGTGTGTCTTTTACAACTTTAACCTTCTTCCTATTAAAACACAGTTTTATCAACATGTCAAGTAGACACTGGCATATAAAACAAGACTGAAAAACAAGACAGTTAGGGACTGTACGATATTTACCGGGGAGGGGGGGCCGGTCGTCCGGGGGTAGCGTAAAAAAATTTTTCCTAGGCCCTCCCCCCAGGTCAAAAAAATTTTTCCTAGGCCCTCCCCCCGGCTCAAAAAAAATTTCCTAGGCCCTCCCCCCCGGCGTGAATCATAGAGAGTGAAATTTCGTATGGGGAGGACGAGATTTTGATTGAAAATTTTCCCCGCATGAAGCGCCGAAGGCGCGGGCCATCGCGCCGCAGGCGCCACTAGAGCCGAGAAGGCCCGGCTGCTTTTTTTTGGGCCCCCCCGGAAAAATTTTGAATTTCAACCCATGTTTTGCATGTTGAGGGGCAAATTTGGCAGCACAAATTTCGCTGGTATATCGAGCTATAAATTTAAAGTCAGTAAACGTTGTCAGTCAGTGTAATCGAAATAATCCTCTATCTAGCCTACCTTTCGTCCACGAACTTCTTCCGCGTCAATTTTATTACAAACAGGGAAACAATATTGCCAAGTTACGTGTTCTTTTCAATTAACTTTGGAGGGACATAGATATAAATGTTGAAATAGTCCTTGGTTTAAGAAAAATACCAAATTAATCCGTCGACATCCGACATCCACGCCGAGAAGTTCGAGCGAGTTGCGAGGCGGGACCAGCGGGACCTTTGTCGACGCACACACGCACACCACTGGGAAGGGTGCGTTGAACGGCGAAAATTAATTTTCAAAATCTTCAGACAAGCCTTCCTACATTTTCGATCGGTATCGTTTCGATTGACGCGATTTTAATCCGTGTAATTTGGCTGTGTAGTCCAGTTTCGCCGATTCTGGCGAAAATGCAAGATTTTGAAGGGGACTGTGGGAGATTTGGGCGAATACATTATAATAATAGGGGTGGATATTATTGGAACGTAAAATTCTGCCGATTCCAATGACTGGCAAATCGCTACGATATGTATGGGACAGACGTTTAATCATGTTTTGAAAGTGTATAAAAACGTTGTAGAGTTAAAGGGATCTTGGAAAAATTTTTTACCTAGGCCCTCCCCCAAATTAAAATATTTTTTCCTAGGCCCTCCCCCCGGCTCAAATTTTTTTCCTAGGCCCTCCCCCCTCAGACGACCGGCCCTCCCCCCCCGGTAAATATCGTACAGTCCCTTAGCATGTAACTTCTTGATTTCAGTATATTATAGAATAAAAGTAATGTACGGAAAATTGTACCTTTTGGGAAAATGGGCATGGGTGCATATCTTTTCATGTGAGGAAAAAATTTGCAGCTAGAATGTCATGCATAGTTTAGTCTTTAGAAAAGAACTTAGTTATGAACTGTTTACAGGTTAGGGCCCTTCACCTTTGACCTTCACCTTCGACCTAGCAGTGTCTGTGATCTGACATACAGCTACCGACTTCCAATAACTTGCAGTCTAAACAATGATGAAGATTCTCACAGTGATTCAACAGAATTTTACATGGCTAAAAACTCCACCAACATTTTGTTTTGTTTTACGTGATGTTGGTAGTAGGAAGAAGTTTTAGCTGAGAAAGGATGGCTGCAGGGAAATTTGTGTGCTAAACCAGACATTGTTTGACCAGCTTTTCTGCTTGTCTGGATGATATCCTCCGTGGTAAACAAGAGTGAAGCCATGCGCACCTTTTCTACTCAATTCTAGTCAGGTGTGAATTTGAGGTCCCTATACAGGCCGCCTGGTACCACATACTAAATGTACAGCCAGGACTGGAAATCTGGGGCATACCGGGGAACCTAATTTCGAAGCTAGAAACCATTGGTGCACCTAGATATTCGTGTAGGTTTAGCTTTAGGTATGTACAGGTATTATAATTGTACATGTGTCAGAAAACATACATGTAATAAAACCTTTGTTGTTTACATGCTTAGAATTTTTATGTTAGCCACAGAATTTAAGATTCTGGCTCTGAAGAGAAGCAGCAAGGTTAGTAATTACGTTTTGCTGGCTTACTTCTATGTTGTGCATCCAATTTTTATTCTGTGGACCTAAATTTACAGGTTAGGTGCCCCGAATGAATTTTGAGCCCTTACTTTGTTACAAAGTTAGAGCACCAACATGTCTAAATTGATTTAGTTGAGAACTTTGCAATTTAGATACAAGAAGACTGAATTGCACGTCTATCAGTCTTACAGTTTTGGACGTTCTAACTTACTTGTTATAAAATTTCTGTGGCCCAAATTGCATTCGTCATGAAGATATTCTAAATTCTTGTTATGTTAGCCAGATTCTGGGCTGAACCCACCCCACCCCATAACATACACAATGGATGAGCCCTTGGGATAGCCTTGGTCAGAATATTAGCCCAGCGTCATTTTAATCATGGCAAAAGATCAAGGACATTTGTTACCAAATTTACATTATTTGCCATTTTTACATCATTTTGAACTAAACTAATATTACTAGTAGTTAGTAGGACATTTGTGCATACAATTTGTATGTATATAATGTTATACATGTAGTGGTAATACTAATATAATTATATGCAGGCAGTGGTTTATATCTTTCTCATATTTGAAGCTCAATAGTTCTCAAGAATCATAAACCTACCATCATAAGTCTCTCCCGTGATTAAAGCATGATTTCTGTCATGATTTGAACTGTAAAATTACATTTGTGAGCTGACAGTTCATTCTATTACTATTGTTACTCTCACAACAACAACACTACCATCAGTTATTTATATCCAAACTAACATCACCATATCAATCATGCATGCAAGCCTAGCTGCTGGGAATAGTTTTATCGTAACATATTGTAAATTGTGTTGCATTGTTCATCATGATGTAGAAATAATTTACCTTCTATCCATGATCACCGTGCTAAGCTGTTCTTCTATGCGTTGGTACATGATGGTTGCTTGCAGAGTGGTACCAGAATGTAGGCTATTTGTGTAGGATCAAGAAGGTCATATGGAAATGTGCAGAGACCCATCTGTCCAAAATATATCCATACATCTTACAATAATTGAGCTTATTTTGCTGTAGGCAGCTGTACTTTTGTGATGACATTTCTTTGTTGTTATTGTTGATGCACATATGAAAGTTTAGTGAAAGCATGTCAGATAGATATGTATAATGTTGTTTATATTTCTAGTGCAGCATGAAGACTAGTATACCGTTACTACTGGCTGTATCATATTGGATGGCAGATGTGGCCTTTGGTGGCTGCTATGGTTGTAATGGGTGGTATGTCTGGCATGGGTGGTTACCCCAGTTTTGCCGCACTTTGGATCGTTCCTACCTTGGACGTTTTTTCGTTGAAACTCTAATAATCTTTCAAGTTTTCAGCTTGTAACCAGTGTTTGCACATAAAATCTTCTGTATTTGCCAAGAAAGTATAGTTTTGGAGGTTCATTTTAATGTGATATTCAGGACAATGCTAGTGAAACACTTTTACCATCAAGACAATAGTGGTTGGATGTGGACTGCACCAAGTGCTGCAGAGGAGGTTGTAGGGTAGTCTCGTTTTTGGGCATACCAAGGGAGGTGGTTATTTTAGGGACAGTGTGTCATGGGGTAGGCAGTCAGCAGCCATGATCGGAACACCCCAGGAACACAGAGCTCTCAAAGTAAGTCTCTGGTCCGCTCCAAGAAGTTCAATTTGTGCCTGGGAGTCATCTTAAGTTGGTCAGGACAATGTCTGGAGTATGATGTTAGTGCAGATAACGTTATAGAGTGTGCATTGCAAGCTCCATCTCTGCAGGTCTGAGTGGTTTATATTGGCTGAGTTATCACTATTGTGTAACCCTACCTCCCACAGTAATGTTGACTCCGGGACGGGAGGGATCGTTGCTGTCCACGGTCTGTGCTCGGCGTTCGTTAGCAGTTAGGACAATTCTCACTTTGCCTGCAGATGCCAGACTTTCATGTAGTATAACTTGATTATGATGAGTTATTACGTACACATTAAGTTGAACTAAGTGTATATATAGGAGTCAGACTCCAGAGTCATTTTATACTTTTAAGTTTAGGCTGCCTCATCCTGCTCTGAGTCTGATCACAGTGCAGAAATACAAGACCAGTAGACATGTCAACATTTTGAGACATGTATATGTACTGTGCATTAGCATGATGCTTTTGGTTCTAAGATTATAAAGTCGTTTTCTGCTGACTTATCATTAAACCAATTACAAAAAGTATGGATCAAATCCAACTGAAAACAGAATCTACAGCCTACAGGTTTTGAGAACTTGAATGATAACCTTTTACCAAATGGCAAGTCCCACGACATCTTTCGTTATTTCTCGCCGTGACGGCATTTTCTTTGAGCCCTGTATCAAATTGATGCTGTCAGATTTTTCAGATTGAACCATATATTATGAAAAGCTATTGGGAGCCGACAGTGCTAAAGTCATCAGTTTTCGCCTTGTTGGAACAGTTTAATCGATCTACTACTTTGTATAAGGTCAATATCTCCCTGTGGTAGTTTGTACAGAGCTGATATCTTACCACAGGTTTCTGTTTATGTCTTTATTTGGGCACAATTTTAGGTACAAAAGGCCAAGTCTATATCTAATCAAATGACGTCATAAACTTGAAACTATTTGTTATTAGGATCACTGGCTGTTCGATTAATTGAGGGGAAAATTTTTTCCTTCTTGTCTCCTGACTTTGTCTAATAAAGCAAGATGGGGATTGATACAGAAACATTTGTGCAGAGAATTAGATGTTCAGTGATTAATGCACATTGTGTCGTCAATTTTGCTTCAACTCAATTTTGGATTCTAACTTCCAAGGATCTTGATAATTTAGGAACCCAGACTTTTGTCAATATAAAATATTGCAGTGATTTTGTTTTTTATTTACAGAATAATAGTACTGGGCGTGTTGGATTGACTTGACTTGACTTTATTGGGATCCACACTTAGCTTACAACAAATGTAGCTATTGAAATTGTCTGTGGTTTGATTTTAGAAATATTCCCATGAAGTAATAAAAAGCAGCATGAACAAAAACTTTCCAAGTAACAAACAGTAACAAAACCGTACTGAATGTTCTGTTTTGTGTGCAGGTGCGGATAGCATCAGATTTCATCCTCCATGCGCCGCCAGGAGAGTTTAATGAAGTCTTCAACGGTGAGTTTGTTATTTTCTAACTTTTAACCACATTGTGTTGAAGGCTTTATTGAATAAGTATTTGATGTGAATTCATTGCAAAAACATGTCAGAAGAATGCACTGCACCTACGGGAAGAATGTAACATGTATAGCACTTTTACAGAATATATCATTATAGGATTATATTTATGAATATGAGGATGACGTCCCTTCTCTAATTTTAAGAGTTGTGTTGGGAAAGAAATTGTAATATTTCATGCAACGGGCAAAATTTTTAAGTAACGTTGACCAGACAACCAACAAAAACAGTGGTTTTGAAAAGGTGCAGTACATTCTGTTGACGTGCTGGATAGGGTAAAACTGCTGCTTATGATGCAATACTTAAGTTCTAGTGATTCAGTTCTAGCCTGAAGGTGACTGCCAGCCCCGTGTGTGTTTTTCCCATCTTGAATGTTCTTATCTGTCTGTCCCAGACGTGCGTCTGCTGTTGAACGATGACAACCTCCTGAAGGAAGGGGCTTCACAGTAAGTTACATTGTTACGTCTTACGGCAAATGTGCGAAAAGGCTGTACTCACTTTCATCATGCGTATCTGCTCAATTTATTCCTGACATTAGGAAAATGTGAAAGTGCAAGGTTTCTCCATCTGTTACTCTTTTCCACCATGTAAGGTCTGCCTGATGTTATATTACTGATTTTCTCTGTCATACATCAATGATAAGCATAAATGATAAAGCATGTTGGGCAGATTTTAAAATGCCTAGCGTTAGGTATACTTCTTACAATGGTTAAGCTATATGTTCTGTATATGTGGTGGTGTATTGTCAGCATTGTGGAAGAGAAGCAGTCACGAACAGTATCAGTAGAGAGTCATGAGTGCTGGAAGAATGTACTTAGGAGTTGTAGTGGAGAGATGAATGTGTTTGAAGTGGAATGGTATGTTTTTGGCACAAAAAGGGCGGTTTGTTAGAAGGGTATTTTGATAGCCAGATGACATTAACACAAACCATACCTACATACCGGAAGTTTGAAATCTACAGTTAGCCTCTAATCTCAGCTTCTGTAGATATTTTCTTTTAAAACAAAATAAAAGTGCTGGTATGTAGAAATATTTTAGTCAGTCCTGTTGGTAATTAGTCTATTTCTCAACAATTGGGAGCTTACAGGTCTATGCCAAGGCTTTTGGTTGGAAGAATTTTGGTTAACTTATCTGAGACATGTGTTTAGAATGGCACAAACAAGTTCTGATCTTATAGTGATAGATCTATTGTGGGGCAGACAGCAGGTTTTGGTAATAACTTGTCTAGATTCAGAGTAAAATGTAGAGGATGTTTACCTGTCATTTTTAAAACTGCTGTTCGGAAAACCTGGCTAGCTGGCTATATGTCTAGCACATTCCTGAAACTAATCTTGAACTTGAAGCTGATTCTGGAAAATATAATAAACATTCTGTGCTGCCATCTAGTGGTTTCATGTCATACTGCAACAGACTTAGCCTTGGGTGAGACTCCACCTCACTGTTTTTAAAGCAACTGTGTGGGAGTGCTATATTTGGGCATATAAGGTTTTACTGTTTTGTCTCTTTTCTATAGAAAGTGAAAGTTGAGAACAATATTGTGACAACTTGGCTGTTTTCAAGTTGCAGTGTGGAGAAATCTCACCGGAACTCCCTTTTTTCCCCAGGGCTTTTGCCAAGTACAACATAGACCAGTTCACACCATGTAAGGTGGAGGGAGACAACCAGGCACTGGTCACGGAACATGGCAACATGGGCCAGGGGCGCTTCCTGGATCCCGCAACCAAGCGCTCGTTCAAGTACGACCACCTGCGGAAGGAAGCCAGCGACTTCCAGCCCGTACAGGTACAGAACCACGGGAAAATGTATACAGTAGATCACTAGATCTTGAAATGTTCGCTGTGGTTGTATTTTCACAGTGGCCTCACCTTGAATTTGTGTGTTGAATGTATGACTACAGTACTATAGAATTATTTCAACCACAAATGTCAAAGACTGGGAAAACCTCCTTTCCCCTTCTACTGCAAATAAGGTTCCCACAAAAGTACATGGATTTACAGGTACAGAATACTGTAGATCTTGAGATAGTTCTCTTGTGATTTTATTTTCACTGTGACCTCTTCACCACGAATATGCATGTCCAATATGTGTACCTAAGAATTGTTTCAACCGCAAATTTTAAACACTGAGAAAAGCTCTTTTCCTGTACTGTGAAATAAAATCACTAGAATACAAACACCGGCTGGAAATACCCACCTGCTGTTTGTAGATGAAAAGTCTGAAATTTTTGTAGGTAAAGAATTTTAAAATTAAAACATACAAGAAAATGCAAGTAGATTAGTTGTCCTACATTTAAAACATATTAGACAAAGATAATACATAGATTTGTTCCAGTTGATTACACTAAGTAAAAGAGCCTACCAGGAATAACATATATGTATTTTTTCTATGACAAACGAAATAATATTCTATTCACAAAACACATAAACATGCCTCTTTGCCTGTCTGCAATGCATAAATTATTGTGACAAAAATACAATTGTTTCCTAAACCCTAACATTGTATTCATAAATGTCAAAGTTGGTGCAAATGGCCCCAAAGCTCGGGGGAGAATTTATCACATTGATTGCCACTCCTACGAGACTCATTTAGAACAGGTAAAAATAACCAGACATAGCACAGGTGATGGGGAAATAAGGCGTCAAAATGGCAAGAAACCATCCTACAATGCTGTGGGTGCCTTGTCAGGGAGGAATATCTCTTCTGAAGGAGGTGCCACAACCAATGGTAGGTTTGGGGAGTACACAGAGGGTATGGATCTGTGTATAATTGCATAGAATTCACTATGGAGGAACACAGCCTTTATAGATTAGTCTGTATCCGTTCAGGCTACCTCTAAAAGACTGTAATACATGAATTGTAAATTCATCAGTGTTTGCAGCAGTTCAATTTTGTAGTAGGAGGGAAAAAGAGGTTTTCCTGCTGTTAGCAGTTGAAACAACTCTGTAGCTACAGTAGACAGCAGTAATATGTTGGAAACACATATTTTTTGGTGTTATGAATTTGCAGTGGTGGGGTGACAGCATGAAAATAAAGCCACTGAAAAAGGTTTACAGTATTAGACCAATGTGGGGTTTCATGTTTATGATATTTACTGATTTCTTGTGACATCAAAT